TTTAGGAAACAACCTGTTCTCTACCTGGACACAGGAACTACCTACAGAGTAGACAAATCATTTGTCTGAAGAACATATTCTGAGGGTGAAATCACTGACTTGGTGATGATCAGTAAATATGCAAAGGGCCTTCCAGAATTTTGTGGGACTCAGGTAAAGAACTAACAGGTAACTCAGATCTGCAGCACTGCCTCTGGAACAAAAGCCCTAGAGCAAAGCAGGACAACTTGTCATCTTTTGCCCTTCTATGGGAGGATAAGGATGATGGGGAGATTTTTTCCCATAATTTGTTTTAAGAAACAGAAATTTAACATGCGAGTTTAAATTGCATTCTCCACAGAAACTGACAGCTGGAAATGAGACCCAGAATTCCATTTTCAGCAATAAAGCTAGAAGCAAAAGCTGCCCTAGCTAGGCTGCCTGCAGAAGGTCGCAGTAGCAAGAGATGGGTCAGGAAATCAAGAATGAAAACAAGTTCCTCCATCCCTGATGCACAAAAGGCAGGGAAGGAGGACAGCTGTTTAATGAAACGAGAAACAAAACAATTCTTGTGGAAGTCTCACATGCTTTTCATGGTAATCTGTAGTCTGAAATAGACATAAAAGTATTCACAACTCCTCAAATACTGAGTACTGATAATGACTAATTAAGGGGACTTGGGGTATTTAGGGTGTGCAAGTGCCTCTTAATTCTACTGAAGGGAGATGGATCCAGAGAAGAAAGCAGTAATTTCTCTCCCCATAAAAAATAGAAATTAATGCAGAGACCCAAACTTTCTGAAGAGAGGTGCACACAGATTGAGCAGCCACCTCAAATGTCCAAATACTCTGCTAAGTAACTTCTAGGAAACTTTTACTTTTCTACTTATGAGCTTTAAAAGGAAAAATCTGGACAAAACCAATGACAGCATTGTCTTTGGTACACTCTACAACCCTCTGTCCCAGAGCTCAGCACTGAACTGTGCCAGCAGGGCAGAGGGGATGTGGGCCCAGCTCATTTCAGTCTCTGGAGCAAGGAGCATCTCTTGTTTGTTACCCTGTGCATTACCTGGAATTCTTCTGGGAGACACAAACACAAGCCAGACACCTTTGCCCATACCAGAAGTGATCTTTCAAAGAGCTGGGGAGAAGAACTAATCAAACCTGACCTGGAAAATAATCAAGATCTTAATACAGCTACATGTGAGAAACAGTGTACCCTTTCTTTGCACCAGCACCACATGGAAAAACTTCCAATGCCAGGAGCATGAAATAACAGGAGCACAGGAATTTCTGGAGAGTAAAAATATTTTAACTGCTATGTACAGAAATCATCTTGTAAGGCACCACCCCTTCAAACCCAGAGATGGGAATAAAGGGCCAGGCCTGAGCAAGAGCAGGATGGCCATTTGTGGCCAAAAGAAGAAGGGGTACTGCTAAAAATCCAGGTTTTATTTCCCCTTTTGGACTCAGTTTTCAGCTTGGAAAGAAGTGGAAAGAGATGCATGTTGGAACTTGCTTCTCTCAGCAGAAGGTCTCAAAATGTGGAAAAACGAGCTCTTAACTAGAGAGGCGAAGAAATCTCCTCAGGACATCGTGAAGAAACACAAACCATTGTACACTGAAGAGTGAATTTTGCCTCAGACCATCCATGTACACGATTTCTCACAAGACTTCAAAGCGTGCAGAAGTTTTCTTCCAGGAAAAAGTAAAGTAAGAGGTACCTGGAAAATAATCATGAGGATTTTTCTACTTCAAATGAAGCTACTCCTACTGAAAAGCCTGCAGTATTAACAGGCTGGGTGAGCAAGCAACAGTTTTCTTTCCTGAGTCACCTGAAACAATTTCCACTTCTACATCATACATGTCAAAACTTCCATGCCAGGACTTATCTCCCTGATCCAGCACATGCACATTTATGACATGCATCTTTTCAAGCCTAAAAAAATGATAAAAATGTACCTAATCAGTTCAGAACTTTGTTCACTAAGAAGGAAACATATACAGTGGCAAATCTTGACAGAAAATAAACATAAAATCCATTTTAAATACAGGGGAGCTGAAAATACTTTAACTCAGGATGAGCATGGAAAATCTTCTTTATAAAGCCAGAATTGGGTTTTGCTTTTCTATTTAGTGGATTTTTAGTAAGATGAGCATTGTAGTGCTGCAAGCAACAACGCACTGTCTGAGGGGGGAGAGAAATCAAACAGCAGTAATTGTACAGTTGCAGTTCAGACAATGTAAAACTTGTAACTTGAAGAAACTCAGTCTTTCTGTGTATTCATTTCATGAGTCAACCTGTGTGTTCCTGTCTGACTCGCAGCTATGTCAAGTGAGGCAGCAATATTTCCAAATCATTAAATCATCTGCAAATGCTTTCCTCCTCCATCAAGCATTCCTAAGCCTTTCTCTCTCCACAAAAGCAAAGACAAGATTATTTCCTCTCCAAACACAGCCCACTCAGCTACAGCTGCCATGTCTGCAGCAGCCAGACCACGCACCCCTTCAGCAGGAACAGTTTTTCTTAGGTCAAGTGGAACACATGCCTAATAAAAAATTCTGAATTGCTCCTATGAATTAATAAACAAGCCTTCTGTGCTGTTTTGTATGTACAATAACAGTTTTCAGATACGACAGCACAGATACAAATGCTCTACTACTTGACCTGCAATGTAGCAGCAGAGTTTTGATTTACCAGCCCTGTCAGCCTTGGCAGGAGGAAGAATCCAGCACAGCTTCTGTGGTTCCCACTGATGATGGGATTTTGACTCTCCACAGGCAATGGCAAAACACCGCGTGGATCGGGATTTCACTTAAAACATGTTCATCTTCCTCTGCTGTGAGATCTGCTTGATCATAGCCTAATACCATTTTCTTGTTCTTTCACATGAGCTTACAATGCTACCTAAAATACCAGACACAAAAACCATGATGAAGATTGTCCTAAGCAAAAACTAAATGATAACAAGAAGCACAGTGAGTCCTGTGAGGGATTCAATGAATTTATCCCAACTGTGACGAAAATAATGCAAAGCTTTTCCTGCCACCTTAAAATATTAAGAGAACAGGTTTTACAAACACCAGGCAAATTAATTTCTGAAATAAATCAAATTGTTTCTAAACTAAGGGTTCATCCTGTCTTGATGTGCAAATAGAATCATACCATGATTTTATCTTTTCTTCATCAAGCATGACTTTATACAGTAAGTTAAATATTCAATCACAGAATTGTAGGACACACCAAACTCTCATCTTCTCACTTTTCTTGAATTCTGACAATACACATTATAAATGAGCAATAAGGTCATGTAATATTCCAAGGCCTGTAGAAATTAGAAATGCTAATGGAACATGCTAAAGGAGGTTTCTAGCTACTTTGATTAACCTACTCAAATTCTTAGCATACCTCTAAATTTAGACTCAATAGTGAACTTACTGAACAGTTAAACTCTCCTGAGCTTAAAGGTTTGTGGACTCCTTTTAGACTCCAAATACTTTTTCACTGAAAATTTCCTCTGGTTGGTCATTCTGTTTCACAATTCTGTTTCACAACAATATTTACATTTTTTGGATTTTTGGCTTTTGTTACATACACTTTACTTTGAGAACACAATGTCCCTCACTGAAGTCAGCTGTTGTGCTTTGGATCTGCCCAGATTTAAATCTCTGATGTCATTCCTCATGCTCCTACACTATTCCTGTAAAACAACTGCTCCTTCAGTGGGGAATTAAACCTTCCTCTAAGAACAAGGAACCAAAATACTAAGTGGGTAATACTAATAGCTAAGTCTTTCATTTTCCCAACAACTTTATATTTAAAACAGATTAGGACAAAATGACCACAGCTATTGTGCTTCCAAGAGATACTTCATTTTTAATTTGAGGAATGTGCCTTACTAAGTTGGCTGACCTTAACAACTCTGTGGGTACAAAGTGTCCTTAAACTTTGTTCCTCTCTCTGATAATTATTTTTTTCATTAATTATGTTAGCATAGCCTGGACATGACTGTGCAACCTTGTCCAAGCTCCTTAACCAGTCACCCTCACAATTTAACCACCACTACAAAGAGAGGTTGGTGAAAGATGCTGGACATATCTGACTGTGCTGATGGTGCATTCAAAGGTCTAAGGTGTTGTTCACTGCAAATAAGGCAAGATCACCATTAGCTCATGCGTTGTAGGATGCCTAGCCATTACCAGATTTTGACAACAGAAAATGGAAAATGGTCACTTTGCTGAATAATTTCTGTTGTTCCCAAACTGTGTTTATAAGACACTGGGATAGGTCAGTCTAATTTCAGTTTTATCCACAGAAATTTTTTTTTGGCCATAACTAGACACTATTTGTGAGGCAAACCTGGAAAAGACTCTAGGAAAGAGGTTTCACAGATGTATTGTGAGAACTACTTTCACTCAAGACTCCACTGTTGTGTTTTGAACAAAGTCTCAAAGGCATCAAAACTGGCATGACACTTCTACCCTTTATTCCTCCTGTTGTCTTTGGCCAGCTGATTTTGCATTTAACTTATTCTATGTTGCTTGATTGTTTATTAGGGTGAAAAATCTCCAAGTTATTTCAGGATACAAAAACATGTACACCACCCCAGTTTCAGCGAGGGTGGTCCTGACAGAAGCCAGAGATCAGTTCCATCTACAGAAACGTCTTTTCTTCAGCACTGACAGAGCACAGATATTCGGGCAGGTCACGTCCATGTTTCCATCTGTCCTGTGCCTTTGTGACCAGCTTTGTGTGTCCACAGCGTGGGGGACAGAAGGACACTCTTTATTCTGCATTAACACGTGCAACAGCACCTTGATCTCTGAGACAGCTTCCAGGATTCCCCACATTGTGCTGGCAATTAAAGACGTAGGAACTCCTAATTCTAAGGTATCCCTAGAAAACTGAGAGTTTCGTATGAACACCACCTGTGGTTTTGAGCCAGTGCAGTGCAGAAATACTTCTCTATCATATTTATACATGCAGTTAATGAAGCCATGATAAAGACACACAAAACTTACGTAGTCATGAAAGGCTTTTGCTTCACTTGAGTGTTCATATGTTTCTCGTCTTTCTGGAGCTGCACAATAGAGATCCCAGAACACACTGCAAGGGAAGAGGTTAGAGAAGATGGTGAGAGTGTCACTGTGATGCTCATGTGCATTTTATGGCATGCACACACCCCACATGGATGTTCCTAGACAGAAATGTCACTTTCTCTCCAAAGAATGGGAACACTCACCTCTAAGGAAGAATTTAGATTTGTAAACCATCTGTGAGGAACCAAGTCCTGCCATCTGATCTCTGAGTGCTGTACTCCTTTAACACCACTGCACTACAGACCAAGGATCTGGTCTAATATATATGAACACAACGTGTATTACTGTGCATTTAATGTTATCCCACCAGCAACTGCTCAAACGATTTCCACAAAGCACAAAAGGGAATGAATTTGTAATAGTATGGAATGGAAAGAAACTGGAGAGAAAACCGGGAATCTTTCCATGGTCAGGTTCCTGGAATCACAGAACCATTTGGATTGGAAGGATTTTAGAGCTCATCCACTATCCCAGGTTACTCCAAGCCCCGTCCAACCTGGCCTTGGACACTTCCAGGGATGGGGCAGCCACAGCTTCTGTGGACAAATGTCCAGTCCTGTGCTTAAACCAAAGCTCCCTGAGGATCTGGTGCCTGGGCAAGCAGAGAAGATGCATGAGCATGTTCTTAGGTCATAAAGATTAAAAGGGAAAGTAGTATGGCACGTAATCCCATTGGTCTTCCCCCACAAACTCCTTAAACTATAGTTACATACCAATCAGTTCTACCACAAAGTTTCTGGAATGAAACTGTGTCTGTGCTAGAATGACTTAATAATATAATTGATAATAAAATTTGTTGGAGTTTCATAGCGGTTTTTTACTGGTTTAGACTTAATCCTCTATAACTTAATCCAGCACCATAATAGGGATTTATGGACAATTTGAGCACTCTGCTGCAGACAATCAAAATTAAGGATAATGCAGACATTAGAGATAAAAGGGACACGTTCTTGACAGGCTTCCATCCCACAGCAAGAGCTGTGAAAGAATGGTCAAAGAAGCTGTACAAATCACTTGGGTTCAAATGGGACCATTTCAAAACCTGTGAATTCTTGTACTACTGACAGCTGGGCATATTCCCTGCACTTCTGCATTTCGTCAAACACAGGCTTGTTGGATATACCAAAATAATGAATAAATACCATGGCTACACAGCAGTGCCTATGAGCACTCTTCTCCCCTGGGAAATTCTACACACACACTGAGCAAGCTCACATTTACACAGAGTTTCTGTATTTACTGTGTTTTCTTTCCAAATGCAAGTATTTATGATATGTAGAATGACCCCCTTAGCTGCAAAATGTGCTGGAAGGTGGTGAAGAAGGAAAGTCAGGCCACCTCCTTTCTTATCAACACACTATGCACTATTTCTTTTTTTCTGTATCCAATATCCAGTATCACTTTCTATTATTTCCTTTTCCATATCTAAGTTTCCTGTATCTAATTTTCTGTTACTTTATTCCTTAACAAGAGAATGCTTCTTAATCCTGATCCTCTCATTCTTTTTATAGTGTTCACCTGAACTTTTTGCCTCCAGCAGCTGGAACTGGACATCAACAGATTCTAAGAAAACCAGAGAAGAAAACTGGTACTTACCACCACCAGGAATGCAAGAATCCTGGGGGCTCCCCCAGTGTGATGTTTTTTTCCCATCTTATCTAAAATAAAATGATAAAAACAGACATGTACATTCTTGTGATCATTGTGACTAAAAAGAGGAGATTTCACAGTTATGAGATGCTTTATGGTCATCAATTTGAATGCCCTACTTACTTACTTTTCTACATCTATTGATATAGCTGACACTTAAAATTAGCTCCTCTTATGCTAGGGAAGCATAGTTTAGAATTTTATTATTTGGGTTTTTTTGAAAAGTCTGAATATATTGTGTATTATTTTAAGGTCAAAAATGCATGATTAAAAAAGGAATGATTAAGTACCCTCAAAACCTGAAATCTTCTCCCATCTGCACAGGACTGATGCTGTGGATTCAGCAGGTGGCACTCTTCCCCCCGCAGCCAGGGCCAGCAGTGTTTTATAATCCTCCAGGAGTGCCTCAGCCACAGGTAATGTGCAAAAGCAAGGCAGCACCACTGCCATAGCCCCGCTCCCACCACGCAGGGTAATTGTACAGCTACTCTGCCTTGCTTTCCTCTGCAAGCTCTCCCCAACACCTGCACTGCCTGGGCCTTCCTCGCCACCGAGGAAAATGGGTCTGTTTGATGCTGCTTTCAAAGGAAATGCAGTTAAAAACTCTCAGCTCCTGAATTCAAACTTTTGTTGTTGATTAGGGAACCAATCACCAATAACAGCAACAGCATCTGTCTCTCTGCAAAACTTCCCAAAATGTTGTACCTTAACTACAACCACCTTTTCAATGCCAGTTGGTAGCTTGTCCTTAACCCCAAAATTAAATAGTTTGGGCTTTAATAAAGCCCACTCAAAACTGTCCAGAAAAATGTCTCATGTGAGAATTTAGTGGATTTTTGGTGCACAATTTGCATTGTGTGCACTGCAAACTCCTCCAGTTACAATGACACACAGCATAATTTCCTGTCCAACTCTCTTTAAAAAGTTGTTAAAAGCACAAACCATATTCTTCTCTAGACAGACAAGAAGAGGGTTATTTTGGTTAAATACTTAAACAGCCTTAATATGAAAAGAATTTTAAGTGATAGATCCATATACATATATGTAAAAGTACATTAGAGCATAATATTAAAGGTAGATATAGTGATCATACTGCCAGGGACCTTGCCAAAGCTGGCATTTTTCAAAGAGACTTAAGATTCTCAACTAATACTTGATTTCCACATCCAATTCTTAGGAAATTTAAACACATAAAAGTTTTGTCAGTAGCAGAATGTGCCTAAAAATGTTGTTTGTACTTACATGAAAATCCATGTAGAAAATCTCAAAAATTAAGAAACCTAATGCAATTTCAATATATTTTATGAATACAACATTCAAAAATAATTATGATATTTTAAATTGTCTATAACAGATAACTCTGAGCCACTATCACTTGAGTTGGTAAAGCTGACAGAATGAAAACCAACATCCCTCACACAGTAGTTAATACACAAAAAACCATATTTCACGAAGTTCCTGAAGTGCTTAAGTGCTTAAAGTTCCTTAAGTGCTGGCAGGAAAAAGTGATGAACATTTGAAAGCAAAAGCCACTACAAAGGTATTACACACTCTTCAAATACACTTCTCTGAGGCACAGCTGCTCCTCATGCGCCCTGGGAATGTCTTGGAAAGACTTGTACTAATAATCAGGAACACACAGTACTTCTGAGAAGGTTCAAAATAACATAATGAAGAGATGCATTGTACAACCAGAATGAAAAAGTGGTTTCTGAAGCAGAAATATCATTTGCTTAGCAGTAAAAATTACAACTGTGAAGAACACCCACATTATGTTTAAGCAGTGATTGTTTTCTTCAAAGCAGGGCCTGGTGAGGAAATTACCCAATTCAGGTCTTTTGTGGATCCTGGGACATATGTCATCTTGAGAAACTGATTGGGAGAAGGAGACTGAAGGGAATATGGAAGTTAGGGACTTTTTTCAAGGCTTTTTGTTTTGGTTTTTTTTTTTTTTAAATATCCATACTTGTGTCTAATATAGCAGATGTGGTCTGTCTGATCAATGAGACTTATCAAGAACTATTATTTATGGAAAAAAAAAATCTTCATTGTCAAGTGTACTGGTTACTGGGAAATGCCCACCAACCTGGTCCAGCCAGGCTAATGGAATTATCCAAGGCTGGAAATGACTTCCAGGATAGAATATGCATGGGATAAAGATCAGCTCTTCAAGGGAAGCATACACACAAGGCATGACAAAAACATGGGGATGGTCAGGACAACCATCCCTAAGTTATAGAGTATTTCAGTGGATTCATGGATATCCAGCTTCTATTTTCCCTTAATTTGGTTCCATTCCTCTAAGTCACAGTCCCTGGCAGATCTGTGGGAGGGCTCTTAACCTTTAGACACTACTCTTAGCTGCCCTACAGCTCACGCAATCCATGTGTGCTCTTCTTTTAAGCCCCAACACTCAGCTTCGGAGCTACTCTCAACAGTTTGACTTTAAAATGAAACTCACCCAAACTGAGGGAGCATCCAGCACAGCAGTCACAGAACCATTCACAAGAACTGTCAGCACATTTACTCTCCTACACTGCTAATTAGTGAAGGAAATGAACTCACAGCTCGTACCTCATACCCACACTACGCACTACTGATTGTCCCTGAGCTGCGTTTGCCATCACTTGATGAGTACAAGTCTTAATTTTGAAGATTTGATATATCCTTAGGTTTCACTGTTCAGACCTGAGATCTTCTCTGTAACTCAAGACGGAATTCGTTTTAAAAGCTGAGTTTCAAGACACTGTATTTAATGTTTTCAGGAAATCCAGATGTCATACCAGCTATGCTTCTGCCAACTGCTCATTTTGCTAATACATCATAAAAACAAAGTGAGCAAAATTTACCTTGTGCAATGCATTATTTACAAATGACAGCTGTTTTGGAAAAGCCAAGATGATACTCTACATTATTTTCTCTCATTTTTCCAGTGTTTTACCATCGAGATAAAACAATTGTCAAAAACATGCTTTATTATAAATGTAAACTGATCATACTACAATTCTACCCTTTTCCTTATCTGTGCTTTGTCAGTTTTGTATAAACATCATAAACAGTTCTCTGGATTTTCATTTTCCCCTCTTCCATCTCCAAAATGTCATCACCAGCATAATAATTTTATTAGCTTCTGGGGGAGGATCAGTTAAAGCAGCAATTTTCCTAGGACAATATCTTGCCTATTTTTTCCAAATTTCTGCTTACTACTCCTATTATTACTACTACTACTACTACTACTACTACTACTACGCTATTGTTGTTATTTTTAGTTTCTGTTATTGTTGTTATTATTACCTTATATGTTCTTGTCAAAGATTAAAAACAATAATAAACCCAGAAGACTTCAATGTGTTCAGCATACATTTGTATCCTAGGGCAAAAGTAAAATGCTGAGGAGACATAATTTACTTCACCCTTCACAAGATGCATACAAAGTCTTTGAAAAGACTCTTAAAAAAAACCCCAAAACTACTGTGTAAAAGTAAAAATTCCATTAGCAGTTGAAAGTGTTCAAAAAAGCAGGACCAAAGTGGTTGTGGACATCATTGATTCAACAGATGAAAAGGAGTGAAGTGGTTAAAAGCATGGGGAGAGCACAGAGAGATCAGCAGTGCTCCAGAGAAGTAGAACTGATAGTGTATGACAGTGGGATGTAAAATACGTTTAGAAGGACCCATCATTCACAATTGGAGATATCAATAGTAAGTTAAAAGGTCATCAACACTGAGTACCATTGAAGTGTTCTCCAGCATGCCCACTTATTAGAGAAAATAGATTAATCTTCCCCAGTGTAGAATGGGGATTACAAACCACAGCAAAAATAGTTGCAGAAAATCATGTAAAATGACAAGGCAAACTGGGCTCTGGAGGATGAGGAACAGCAGATTGAGGCAAACTGATACCCAAGGTTCTCACTGCTTTTATTCTAGACCAAATCACATTTATTTCACTTGCAGGCCCTCAGAAGTCATGTTAAAAAACTCACCTCTGATAAAAATGTCTGGGCTGATTTCTGTGCTCCTACATGGAGCAGATATTCATATACGTACAGCGCTAATCTGAAAAATAAACAGAAAGGACAACATTTAGTATTATGCATTTGTTTGCTCCTCTTCTTCAAAAATAAAGGATTAACACAAGTTTGAGGTATGCGCCACTGCCTTCCACAAACCACAATGTACTCACCATGCCAAATCTATTACCTCTACCAGAATTTTTCAACTAGACATGCAGGTCAATCTGACCAGAGGTGTTTAAATAGTTGCTAATTAAAACATTATTAAGCCCCCAAATTACTTAATGTCAACATTTTTAATATTTGGACAAGTGCCCAGTGAGCTAACAAGTGACCCAGTGCTGCTCTGAGTGAGCATGCTTACTGTAAATACAATATATTCACGCAGCATCACTGATTGCTTTTCCAGGTCAACTTTTTTAGCATGTGGAATGTGTCAAGCTGTTAGCACACTTGAAAAATAGCCCTGTGGTTTTTCCAAAGAACATGGAAACTTCAGGCTGAGTCAGAAGAAGTGATGGCAGCCTCGATGGCCAAACAACCATAGCTCTGCCACAAAGGGAAAACAGATCCTGAAATTCATCCAGACTGGGCTCCGGTGGCAGCAGAGCTACAAACAACTGCCACAGCTCCAGCTGACTCCCCAGAGCCTCCTGTCTGTCTCTCTGAAAGTCTCCAGGCTTTCCAGAAGGAGAAGGAGAAAGAAGGAGAAGGAGAAGGAGGAGGAGCAGGAGAAGGAGAAGGAGAAGGAGAAGGAGAAGGAGAAGGAGAAGGAGAAGGAGAAGGAGAAGGAGAAGGAGAAGGAGAAGGAGAAGGAGAAGGAGAAGGAGAAGGAGAAGGAGAAGGAGAAGGAGAAGGAGAAGGAGAAGGAGAAGGAGAAGGAGAAGGAGAAGGAGAAGGAGAAGGAGAAGGAGAAGGAGAAGGAGAAGGAGAAGGAGAAGGAGAAGGAGAAGGAGAAGGAGAAGGAGAAGGAGAAGGAGAAGGAGAAGGAGAAGGAGAAGGAGAAGGAGAAGGAGAAGGAGAAGGAGAAGGAGGTCTTTTATATTTGCTACCTGCGATGTTTCTGAGATGTAAAATGTACTTGAATGCACCCAGTGGTACACGGCTATTCCTATTTGAAATATTCTCCCTGTTCATTTTCAAAAACCTGTAGATACTACACAAAGAAGAGAAGGAGAGGATCTATCTTCCTGTTCAAAACCCTATGCCATGTTCTGTGTGATCGCTGTCATCATGGCTCTGATGGAGCAGTATTTATTGCAGTGACCTATCAAGTGTGAAATTTTAAAATCTCAGAGAGGCCTTCCCCAAAAATGTTTCTACAAACAACTTTCACTAGCTGTTTGTACTTTGTATATGTAATATATTCACATATTACCTTACTCTCTGTCAGACTTCAAAAGCAAGGATGTAATTCTTTTCTCAAATTAAATATATATAATTGAAACATGTGGCTAGTTTTAGTTTGAACTCTCTAAGTACTGTGGGGGGAGAAGATCTCTTAAGAGTTGACTTAATTCTTCCCAGGTCAACTACCATGCAAATTTTAAGCAATAAATGTTGTAGACTAAATCTAAGACAGATGTAAGAGACAGAGAAGAAATGCTTTTCTACCACAGCCAATACATCCTGAATACCCAATAATGCTTTAAAGCACCTCATTTGTCTTATGAGAGTCTCTTTCTTGTTCTTATCCAAACATGAAGCCTGCAGTCCAGATAAAAGGGTTGGTGTGATCACATCCTTCCTGCCCCATGAAGGAAGGTGGAGCAGCACAAACCCGGGTTTGCTGCGGGGGTTACAGCACCCCATGGCTCTGCCATCGACTGCAAGCTTTGGCAGACACGGCACCTTGATGCCCACACTGACAGCACAAGACTTTAATGCCCAGAGATTTGTGCCCCTCTCGGGACTCCGGGTGCCTGCAGAGTGCTCCAGCACAGCCCAACATCCCTCCCTGTCCCCACTGTCTCTGCTCCAAAAACACAACATATTTCAACACTGCAACAACGAGACAACCCTAAAACTTTTGACCTAACACACAGAATGTGCTAATTAAGCACGATGCTAACTGCTAACGTGCTGTTACCTCTTGGGCTAAACAACCCAGCAGCGCAGTGAAATGGTGTTTAATGAGAGCGTGGAGGGTAAATGTGGCAGATTTCAGTAGAAGGATCCAGCTGTGGTAAACCCCAGACTGCCAAGGGTTGTGCCAGGAGAGCTGGGACTACCTCGCAGCACCAGACGTGGGACAGGAGCACAGCACAGATTGATCCCGTCGGGTCTCACTAGGTCTGTATGTTATTGCGCTCCGGGAAGTCTTTACAGAATGTAACAACGTTATGGGTTCATACCCCGCAGACATCAAAAGAGAGATACTAAGGTTTCCCTGTGTCACAGGGAAGCGTCAATGGGAAACTGATGCTCTGGGGAAAGACAGCAGAGACTCCAAAAAGGTGCAAGACTGGGTAACGAGGAATACCAAATATACAAACTGTAACGACAGGCGAGGAACACAATACCACAAAAACCAGGCTACAGTTCAAGCGTGTAAAATGAACAAATTAATTAACTATTTCACATCCTGTCATAAGACTAAGAAAGTATTAGTGAGGTGGTCTTCAACACCAAAAGACTTGGGTTTGAAGTGACATTTTAAAAAGACAGTTTTTACTCATTAAACTGGTGTGAGAAACCGTGCAGAAGCAGCAAGCAGACATATGTTGAATTTTCACATTTGCATACTTGTTGACATCCCATGAGTAATGTGAGGAAAAAATATTTCCAATCAATTTATGACAATGCTGCAGTAATTTCTGTTAAAGATATGACACAGGCCAGAGCTCCCCCCTCCCAGCCAAGACAATTAGAGCACACATTCATCTGTACCCCGATGATACATTCACTCCATTAACAAACAAAAAAAGGTTACTGTCTGACTCATGTTGCTAACCTGGTGCACTTTGCCTGAAGTTCCTGCTCTAATTGGACAAGGCATTCCTACATCCCACAAGCAGCTACTGAATTCCACAGAAAAGAACCATTTAAGTGGTTCAAGTCAAGCATTTATCAGAATACTACCAGGAAATAAACAGTAATTCCTCTAACTGTGCTGTGGAAATTACATTCCTACATTTTAAAGATGGGGAGATGCAATTAGCTTAATGAGAACTTACAACCTAAGCCTTGCAGCACTACTTCCATTGATGGAAACATGGTGAACTCACCCAATTCCAAACCAAAAGACTAAGACTGCACATCACACAAGTGTTCCCACCACTTCCTCTGTCACCAAGAGCCATTATGCTGCTAACATCTGATGATGGATGTAAAAAAATAAAGTATCTATAATGGGAATGTTCCAGATCTGAGCATCACCAAGATGTATTTACAGCATTTTTAGATTGTTAAGATGTAATTTTTTGAAAACTCTTCCTGTATGGAGAGCTTAGCATATGGCACACCATCAATTTAACTTTTGGTGGGTTCAAAACAGTAATTAAAGAACTAGAAAATCAATATCCATACATAATTGTAAGTCTGAGTGAAGCAGCTGAGCAAGAATGAAAAGCAACTTCATTGAAGTGATCTTAAATGTTTCAGAAGACCTCATGTATTCCAAAATTACTGCTCTGTACAGAGAAATAGCTTTTCTGTTGTTTTCAAGAATGTTTATAGACTTCAGTTCAAATCCATATTTCATTTCAAATCCTAGGAATCTTATTCATCTCACATTCAAATTACAAATCCCATCCCTAAAACAAGAGCAAGTGGCACTGAATCTTAGCACATGTTTTAAGCAGGGCTTTTCTGAACAAATTTTCTTGAATCCATAAATTCAGTACTTTAAAACCTCCAAAGCTCCTGGAGGTGAGCTAGTTTTACCAAGTTTTAACAAACACTGATAAACAATCCTTCTAAGGAAGTTTATTTAATAGGCCAAACCACACTTTCTGGCCTATTTGGTCATAATGACAGTCCTTTTTCGCCCCTTCTCTCCCCCTGTTTTTAGAATATTTAGATGGTAATATAATTTGTTCCTAAGTATTTATTTCTAATATAGTTTTGATATAGATGTGTGTGTGTGTATATATATACACACACACACACACACAGACACACACACACACATATATATATATATATATATATATATATATATATATATATATATATATATAAAAAATATTTTTCTACTCTTCTCACTTGAGATTTACATGATTCAGTCTGCTGTCTGCCTGAGAGAACTGTTCAAGAGACCAGATAAGCCATGTTTTGGATCAAATTCATGCACTACCTGAGAAGTGCATGAAACCTTCTCCCTGTGCTTAGGGCTCCATGGTGGAAATCCCTGTGCAGGGATTTCCCTGCACCCCCAGCACAAGCAGCAACCCCAGGGTCACCTGCACATCCCACACACCACTGAGATTTCGGCCTGTTGAGCAGGCTGCCCTTGCCAAGAGGCTCCATTGAGGCCACTCTACTGCTCCCTCTCACAGCTCAAGACTGGTCTGTGTCACTGTGAGTGCCCTGTGTCCCACCAGCAGTCTGAGTGGTGCTCTTAGGAACACCCAGGTGTTGAGTGGAACACAAGCACTCATCGAGGAATCAGTCCTGGGGGATCTCCTTGATGTTTTCTGGGCACTGGAGTGTCCTGGGAGCTCCTGCACTGCCCTGCAAACACAGCCAGTGTCAAATGTGTTCAACATGATTCACACACAGGTATTTCTCCCTCCCAGTGCACGCAGCAGAGAATACTTTCTCTGCATTCATCCAAGCAAACCCAGCGCTGTGAGGAATGGGGGCCCTACATGAGCCTGAGTACTTCCCAAATAAGCTGATCCCTCTCCTTGCTCACCCCAGTTTCACAGACAGGGAAAGCTTTCACCCAGCACAGCTCTGCCAGCAGGCAGACCCACCTCTGGTCTCTTTTCCCCTTGATTCCTTGCAAGATGTCCCAAAAATTGGCCTCCTGAAGTGAGGCCGCCCTGCCCTTGGTTACTGCTCTGATAGCACAATAAACAACAGCAGGGTTTTTCAGTT